ATATTTGACGCACCAATTTCAATGAAATATGAAAGGTGTGGCGGAATTTGGTGTAAAAGTAAATTTTTTAAAGTTATATTTAAATCGGATCAGATTAGGATATGATTTTAATAAGAGCCACTGACCCACAACGCTAACACTAAAAAAAACAGAACAACAATTAATTTGAAATACGCTTATTACGGGGAAGTATGTTGCTACCGCGAATTCACTAATTGCAATAGAAATGCCACTCAAATTCAAAAAATTGCAGTTTCCTGCACGCTTGGTATTTGCTATGAAATAAATAAATCCAAAGGACAAATCCTTCGTGTATGCATGTCATGTTACTGCTTTTCTAATGATTTTGTTTATTAACGTATTAAAGTAGTGCAATATTTTTTTTAAATTTTTTTTTATCCAACATATATTCGTAAAAAAATTTTGAATGCATATAAAATCAAAAGGGGTAGCGAAGCGCACCGGGTTCAACTAGTAAAGTATATATATTCATAATCAGCTTAAAATTCTAAGTCGATTTAACGATGTCCGTCTGTCTGTCTGTTGAAATCACGATACAGCCCACATTATTTGACGTAGAGCGCCAAAATTTAGCAGAGCAATTTGTATCGTGTATAGGATGGTTCGTATTGAAAATGATATATCGGTCTACGTTTTGGTATAGTCCCCATATAAAGGTATCTCCCGATATTCGGTATTTTGATGATTTTTGCCACATGTTTTCACGGATTTGGCTGAAAATTGGTATTTGTAGGTCATAATGGGTTCTAGCTCCTTAGGCGAAACATTGCATGTATAGGTCCACGATTTGGTATAGCCCCCATATTCGGCATTTTAATGGTTTTCCGACATTCGGCATTTTAATGTTTTTTGTCACATTTTTCCCGGATTCCCGGATTTTTCTGGTATTTGTTGGACTTAATGGGTTCTAGCTTTTTTGGCGAAACGCTGTATGTATAGGTTTTTGTATAGCCTCATACAGCCGTATTTCCCGATATTCGGTATTTTGATGATTTTTGGCATATTTTCCCATGAATATGTCTAAAAATTGGTATATGTGGGTCATAATGAGCTCTAATGTTGCATTTACCCTAGGATGGAGGGTATTAAAAGTTTGGCCCGGCCGAACTTAATGTTTTTTTACTTGTTATCTCAACCTATATAGCCCTTTTTCAATACAAATCAGCCTGCATATGATTTATGTCAAATTTAAAAGCTTTAGACTAAAGTAGACTATATTGTGATTAGCAATATACATACTTCGGGTATCTGACTCAGGGTTGAGGGTATAATCTATATATATAAATGTAAGTTGTGTTAGTTACTACGCTTATAACTTAAGAACCGCTGGATTAATTTTAACGATTCACACAAATTCGGAGTTGTCTACTCTCCGAAAAGGATAATATCCAAAAAAATCGCGTAAAAATGTGATATATTAACATTTTCAATTTGACTTTTCAAATGTACAATAGTAATGTTTTATTTTGCATGATTTTTTTCCATTTTGACTTACTTTTTTCTAATGTACATTTGAAGTGTTTTTTTATATTTTATTTTTGAATTCGAATATTTATACCAATTTATTTAATTGACTTGATTTCTTGAGAACTGAAATTGATGGCGGGTTACATGGAAGTGTAGTAGCGAATTATGTGGTGGCGAAACGGAATAGATGATATCGAAATAATTTAACGCGGTCACACCAAAGTTAAAAGATAATTACTTTTTCTAAATCGCTGAAAAATCATGAAAAAGAGATCTCATTGCAAAAATCAAAAAAACATTTTCAATGGAATCGAATTTTAAAGTAATAGTACATTCTATTGACAAACTTTGTAAGGAAGGATCTTAAAACATTTGCTGTAAAAAATCAGCGAAAAAGTTGAAGACTTTTTCAATTTGTTATTCTTTTTTTTTGTCAATTTTTTTTGTGAACAAAATAAAGAATAATTTTTCACTAAAAAAATTGAATAAGTGCGAAATAGGATGTTAACTGACATCTACCTTTCAACTCCAGGGCCTACATCGTGGGTTAGCTGGAAGATGCGAACACGATTAAACAAACAAAAATGACCGAAAAAGCTTAATGGGGCTCATTTCAAAGCGTGACAATGATCCGTCCAATGAGAGCTCAAAATGCAAAATTCTTTGGGAGAATAATAAGTAATATACCAATATTGAAATAAAAGGTGCAAAATAGTAGAGCGAATGGGACTTTTAGTAAGAAAAGGTTTTATATCCTTCCAGAAATTCTTCCCAAACATTCAAAATACCTAAAATCACTTTTGCAGGTCTTTATATCGATCATAACTCATGGATAAGGGAACAACCCGATTTCATATTTATATAACCATCTATGATTTAAGTTATTTTTGGGGTCTTGGCCGGCCACTTTTTTCATTTTTTGGCCCTTATTTGACATTTTTGTTTCTAAGGGGGTAGATAACCTCTTCGCATAAAATTTGAAATTTTCAGAGTAGGGCCCATATTGGAATTGACCACATTCATCAATTGATTTGGCTAAAAAATTTTATTTATGCCACCCTGGGGTAGGGAACCATCATACAGATAATTGCCACATAGGAATTTATTTAAGTAAAGTCCCCACATTGGAGTATCCCCAAGTCCACTTTCACATCTAATGTGTGGTCAGAAAAGAAAATTTTGTATTCTATTGAATTTTTAACCCCCAAGAGAATATTGGTTGGGAACGTAGATTTGGGATGTGCATCCATATGAAATAAATTGTGGAAACATGAATAAATTACAAATATCAGAAAGTAGCACGGGACCGAATATTTGTTTAATCATCATTGAATTATCCTATGATGAAAATATGGACTTTAAGAGGTCTCCAACTTACAATTTAAATGGCAAATAAAATTAATTCCCATCTTATCATTCTGCCCTCAATTATGAGGTGGATAAAACTATTTTTACTTATTTAAATCACGCGAAATGCTATGACATGCTATATTGTTCTGCTATATTTTTGATTTGGCCTCTATTTGTCATCTTGGATTATAAGGGGTAGAAGAAAGTTTTCAATGTAGGTCGATGTTTCGGAGTAGTGCCCATATAAAGAAGGTGCCTCCTAATTTAACCACATTTCAAAGAATTTGGCTAATAATGCGTATTAGGGGGGTGAAAATCTTACACTAAAATTTCAACATATCTACAAATTTTAGAATTTTTATCCATGTTATAATACCCTCTCAAGTCCACCTTTTGGCGGACAAACAGACTGACATGGTTAGGGGGACTTATGAGGACTCTAATGCACAATCTAAGTTGCTAATGGGTTTAAAAAAGTAATTAACTTTGGCTATTCTTAAATCATTCAGCCCTCAATTATGTAGTATACAAAATACAGCAAATTCCAAATTAATGCTCATTTGACTGGAAGATTTTGCTACGATTTTTACCATATTAAAAATTAATTTGATCCCTTATATGGCGCTAAGATTGATATATACTTTTTAATAGATTTGTATAGCACATCCACACAGTTGAAGCTCACGGTTTAAATATTGAAGCCCACTGGTTAAAAATGGGTACAGGTATTTTAAAACACTTTAAATCGACCTGTACGTGAACACTTATATCAGTCATATCTGTGAATAATTATGCTTGAGAATATATGCATAATAGACAAAAACTACGGGCCGGCAACGCGGACCGGGCCAGCTAGTAATATATATCCAAAAATGTAACAAAAATATTTTCATTATTTTTATTGTTCTGTGATTTTAGATTTTAAGGTAAAGTTGTTTGTTGAAGAAGACAGCCGACGACTTAAACAAAAACCTTCTATGAATCTTCACCATCATTCATTTGACTGAAGTAATTCGTGAATGAAATTCTTGGCTCACTCTTTAATTTAATCGTTCTTATAGTTCATCGGAAATTATATCAATGAACATATCACACCATAAAGGAAAATCATTAAAGTAAAAGGAACTAAATAGTACTACTTCATAGGGATATGTGAAATATGGTACAACTTGCGAATGAAACGAATGAAAAAACTAATCCCACAATGATAACTAGTCTAGGATTGCCAGTATGAAATCTATCGAAAGGTACTTTTGCCACTTTCTGAAAAGTATTATCAACCTTTGACAATCCATTGAAGTTCTCTTGCACCACTGTGTAGGGACAATGAAGATGCTGGGATTTTTCTTGCAACCAAAAAAAAAAAAAAAACATACGATCGTGTACTATCAACAGAGATACATCCATACATAAATATTTACCATCTAAGGTTGCTGATCTTCTGCTCGAACTTGTTGACTAACTCCACTATCTCAGACACTCAGCGGTACATACACACGTTCGTTCATACACACATACACGTACATACATTCAATATTGCATTCGGCAGATTTCTTAAGACGGAGTGTCTGCGGAGTTTAGCATGTGGCACGAGTGGTGATTGTAGTTTAGTTTATTGTATTGTGTCGGCTGAACTAATCTAAGGTGACGTAGTTGTCAAAGACATGACTTTAGTTTTTCACAGCAACAAAAGCAACAACATGATTGTCACAAGAGACGTTCGTTTTATTTTAGATCGGAGGCACCGTGCAAAAACAAAAAAAAATCAACTCAAAAATTCATAATTCAAAGATCCTCTCGCTTCTGACAGCTCGCTGCATAGCGTGAGGATCGGGCAGACCGACAGACAGACGGACGGACCGACCGACATAGAAACGAGCAAACTGTTGGACTAATGATCGGGTGGAGACGTTCACAATAGCTGGGACAAACTGACTGACAGACATACAAGCCGATCGTATGTTAGATCGCTTGCCTTGTGTCCGCCTTGCCTCCGCCACGACGATCATTGACGGCATTGTCGCTCGGCATCGATGCGATGTTCAATGTGTAACATTCTGTGGCGGCAGCACACTGTTGGAAGACGAAATTTATTTTCATATAAATATTTCAGCACTTCGAGAGGAAAACATCAGTTATTGTTTGGATTTCCATACCAACGGTTTTGTAGAGAGAAAAGAACAAGAGGTTCGAACCGCAGGCGATCCAAAAAACAAAAGTTCTCGTATTTTTTTGAGAACAGGATTATTTTTGTAATCCTGAACCGAGGAGTTCACATAGTCCGTTAATTAGGTCGAGCAATAAGAACGAGAAACAAGAAAGTGCAATGTGGAAGTTGGTGTGTGTGACATTGGCGATAACAACGGTTTTGGCGAGGCCAGAGCCACCCGTGAACTCTTATTTACCACCTTCGAGTAGTTATGGAGCACCCGGTGCTGGTGGTTCCAGTGGTTCTCCCTTGGCACCTTCGGATTCTTATGGGGCACCAGGTTTAGGTGGTGGTGCCGGAGGATCCGGTCAAGCTCCTTCATCTTCCTATGGTGCTCCAGGTTTGGGTGGTGGCAATGGTGGGGCACCTTCCTCCTCATATGGTGCTCCTGGCTTAGGCGGTGGATCAAATGGCAATGGTGGTGGCGGTTCTGGTAGTAGACCCTCATCAAGTTATGGTGCCCCCGGTGCAGGTGGAGGTTCCAATGGCAACGGCAACGGTGGTGGTAGACCTTCTTCAAGTTATGGTGCTCCCGGTGCTGGTGGCGGTTCTAATGGCAATGGATTTGGAACTCCCTCTTCCAGTTATGGAGCACCAGGCGGCGGTAATGGTGGTGGTCGTCCCTCCACTTCATATGGAGCTCCTGGAGCTGGTGGTTCCAATGGCAATGGTAACGGTGGTGGCAGACCTTCATCCACCTATGGCGCTCCTGGTGCTGGTGGTTCTAATGGAAATGGCAATGGCAACGGTGGTGGCAGACCTTCATCTACCTATGGAGCTCCTGGTGCTGGTGGTTCTAATGGCAATGGAAACGGTGGTGGCAGACCCTCATCCACCTATGGCGCTCCTGGTGCTGGTGGTTCTAATGGCAATGGCAACGGTGGTGGCAGACCTTCATCCACCTATGGAGCTCCTGGTGCTGGTGGATCTAATGGCAATGGCAACGGCGGTGGCAGACCATCAGATAGTTACGGCCCTCCTGCTTCGGGTAATGGAGGTCGCAATGGTGGCGGTGCTGGTCGTGGAGGTCAACCTAATCAGGAATATTTGCCACCCAATCAAGGTGGAGGTCGCAATGGAGGTAATGGTGGCGGTAGCAATGGTGGCGGTGATAATGGCTACGATTACTCTCAGAATGGCGGAGGAAGTGGCAGCGGCGGCGGCGGCGGCGGTGACGATGGAAGCAATGTAAGTAAACAATTAACAAAACAAACGAAACAAGCTTATGGTCAAAGGTACAAAACAACAAGGTTCAACACCAAACTTGAGGATATTGAATTCTTTGATTCCGATTTCAAAAATTATACTCCCACATGAAAACAAAACAAAACATGAAAGACAACACACGTTGCACAGGACATAACTTACATCACAAAAATGTACAACTTGTTTTCTGTATCTCTCTGTCTCTCCTCCTCCTGCTAACAAACACAATCTTAATTCACAAACAACCACTTGGGCTACCGGAACAGAAACGCCATCAGTCACCTACAGACAAACAATTTAGCTTCCACATGTGCTTATTGCTCTGCTTTTTCTACTCCTTTTCAAACTCTGCCTTCATCCGTTATGCTTTGATTTGATCCATTTTATAGGAACCGGCTAAATACGAATTTAGCTATCAAGTCGAAGATGCTCCAAGTGGTTTATCGTTTGGCCATTCGGAAATGCGTGATGGCGATTTCACAACTGGTCAATATAATGTCCTATTGCCCGATGGAAGAAAACAAGTAAGAAGATGAAAACCAAAAAATTCGAAATAGTTAAAATTGCAATTTCTATGGTAGAAAATAGTCTCAAGTAGTTTGCATATGGTAACACCTTGAAATATTTATTTCAGTTCTCAAAAAAAAAAAACATCTAAAAATTTAAAGTTATATAGCAAAGACCGTCATTTCCAAGCAAAGACGCAAGGGGGAAAAAGCATATATGAAGCGCTTGGTCGAGTAAAAACATAACATTATTGCCAGCTTCTCATTGGCTGATGTGACCACATAGTTTTGCGATCAAAAACACCCCATTGATGGAATAATCAAATGTTTCCCTTTTTAAAAAGGCACAATCAATTCAACAAAATTTAGATTCTATTGTCATCTGATAGTGTTTTAAAATTGCTTGAATATGCGATAGATATATACTTTGTTAACTTTCGTAATACATATTTCTCTTCCCCAATTGTCCACCAAAAAGGTTTCAAATTTAACAGATCCACATCATTTCCTTGGAACTAAATACAGTATTTTCCACAGACTATCTTAAAAATTCTTCATACCCTGAAACTATTAGTTTCAAATAAAGTAAATTCTTTTAATTTTCAAAAAACACAAAAAAACCGTATAAGCTTGTAAAGACGCAGCTAAGTTCGGCTGGCCCTAATCCATCTACCATTTGGAATCTAAAACAAGTAAAAAGGCTGTAAGTTCATTGAATACCCTCCACCATTTGAAACGAATTTGACAATTTTCAAAAAATAAAATCCGTTAACAATTCTATTAAAATCTTAAAAATACCGAATGTAGCCGTTATACGACGACGTGGACCTGGACAATATTCAAATGCGAAACTTGAAAAAATCAGTGAATAATTTAGCTAAAATCATCAAAATACCGAATATAGGGAGGTACTATTATATGGGGCTATTCCAAAACGTGGACCTGTACAGACAATTTTCTGTCATAGACTGTAATATCCATTACGAACTATAGATACCAAATTTGAAACAATTCCGGTGAATAATGTCACTAAAATCATCGAAATACCGAATATTGAGAGGTACCGTTATATGAGGGTTATACGAAGACGTGGACCTATACAGACAATTTTCTGTCATAGGCTGTACCATCCATTGCGAACGTATAAGCCTATTTTAAATACCAAAAGCCCTGCAGACATAGTATACATTTAAGTAAAATTTTATCAACCTACTTTATTTCGTTCGGAAGCTAAAGGGATTTCCACAGACGGATAGAAGGGCAGACGGACGGACATTGCTAAATCGACATAGAATTTTATGCTGATCAAGATATATATACATTGTGCGGTCTAAAATGTATATTTCTAGGTATTATAACAAAAATGGAATGGAAAACTTATTATACCTTCCATACTAAGATGGAGGGTATAAAAATACGAATATCAAATGCTACAGTTATATGGGTCTACACGAAAACGTGAACCTTTTCAGTCAATTATTTGCAAGAGAAGGTGGTGCCGATTACGAACTCCAAACGCCCAGTTAAGGATAATTCTTTTGAAAAAATGAAGCTAAAATCATCAAAATAGTGAATATTGGGAGGTACCGTCATATGGGAGCTAACGAGGTCGTGAATTTGTGTATGCATTTTTTAGCCAATGCGAACTCTAAATTCCAAATACGAAATAATTCTGGTGAAAAGTAGAACCTGAATTGTCCAAATACAATATAAAGGGACGTACAGTTATAATGGAGATATACGAAATGTGATCGACACTTTGGTATTTTTGAAGTGCCAACCTTGCTTTCCAAAATAATCCAGACACAATAGTTCAACGGGTTGTGCGCTGGAAATGAAGCGAGGATCCTCATTTTGTAACCATATTTGGCTCGTGCTGAGTCCTGTTGAAATGTCCAAGGTCTGCGGCCAAAATGTTTGCATGCTCAACCTCCAGAATAATTTCGCTATAATGTTCGGCATTTATTCTGATGCCACGGTCTATTAATACGAGCGGAGAGCGAGCATCGGCTGTTATGGCGGCCCACACCATCTCCACCATCTTTGGCAAGTAAATACGAACATTTTGTATGTTTACAAACTGCTGGACAGCGAATGTTTTCTCATCGGAGAAATCCAAATTCGGCAGTTCACCACTTTCGGCCAAGCGAAGCAACTCTTTAGCACTTTTGAGTGTATTTTCTTTCTGTTGCGGTGTAAGTACTTGCACTTGTTGGAATTTCAATTGCTTTACCCCGAGCTCATTTTTCAATATTTACCGAATGGAATATTGCGATATATTCAGCTCATGAGCCATTTTTCGACCACTGCGACTCGGGTTTCGATCAAGTCGCTTCTTTACTTTTCGAACCATTTCTGATGATGTTGCTGTTTTCTTCCATCCACTTCCTTGACGTCGGACTACGCTACCAGTATCACGGTAACGAGCGATGGTACGAGACACAAAAGATTTATTCACATTTAAATGCTGGAGTGCTCTAACGATAGCCACTTGTGGTTTTCCAGCCAAATATAAAGAAATCACACTATCACCTTTGAAATCCATCAGGAATAACTTTTTTTTCTGGAAAATTCTCATCAAAATACTTTTGTACACTTATAAACAGTATAATGAGCTGTCACTGGAATAATTTTAACAGCTGTCGGACGAGTGGCTTAGAAATGACAGCAGTCTGAAGTTGGTTGCAGTTTTTTCATCTTTCCCTGTATATAATAGTTATATATAATAACACATGCCCTGAATGTTTTAGAAGCTGTTTCCGTGGTGAGAAGAAGTTACGAGGTAGTATACTGTCTCCTGGGTTTCCCAGTCTACATTCATGCTTCCTAGGTTTGATGTCCATTCAAGTATTCAAATTAATTTCCTGTGTTTTTAAAGATAGAACATTTTTGTATTGGAAAATTGTCAACATATACCTAAGTGTTGCACATGGATATTTTGGCTGCAGTCTCAAGTCGTTAAGATCAGATTTTTACAGAAATTTATATCGTAGACATTGTTGATATAAGTCGAAAATTAGCAATCGAAGAAAGGTGGGGATCCACTATTTGCAATGGTGCAGTTTACGCAGTGGTGCTTACATCCCATGAGAAATATATAATATTTTTCGAGTCATTTGTTATATTCTTGGTACATTCCATATGAAAATATAATTCACAGTATGTATCGTAAAGGTAAATCGGTTATCATATATACATAATACATAAATATTTTAACATCCCTACAGTTCTGGAACAGATCAAGTCTTTAGCGGAATATAGGGACAAATCGTGCAAGTTTACTGCGTGCGTTTTCGAAACTTTCCGATATAAATATACATTTTTTCTTTACATTTTTTGGAATTCAAATCCAATTTAAATTTGGAATTTGAAAAATTCCCATATGTTTTAAAGATTATAATCGTTTTTAAATCAAAATGTATAAATATTTTTCCTTCACTTCAATTCTGAATATTTCATACAATGTATTTGAAATTAATAACAACAAATTGTTCGTAATTAACATTTTTCCTAATTTTTCTCCATCCAGATCGTTGAGTATGAAGCAGATCAAGAAGGTTATCGTCCCCAGATTCGTTATGAGGGTGAGGCCAATCAAGATGGTCAGGGTGGTGCTGGCGGGGCTGATGGCTATGATTATGAACAGAATGGTAGTGGTAGCGGCGGTGGTGGTGCTGGAAGTGGTAATGGCGGCGGTCAAGACTTGGGTGCTGATGGTTATTCTAGCGGTCGTCCCGGAGGCAACGGCAATGGTAATGGCTATTCCAACGGCGGTGGTCAAGGAGGTGGCCAAGAATTAGGATCTAATGGTTATTCAAGCGGTGCTCCCAATGGTAATGGTGGACGTAATGGCGGTAATGGACAAAATAATAACGGCCAAGGTTACAGCAGCGGCCGTCCCAACGGAAATGGTGGAGGACGTAATGGCGGCAATGGAGGTGGTGGCTATCGCAATGGTAATGGTGGTGGAAACGGTGGTTCCAACGGCAATAATGGCTATAACTACGAACAACAAGGTTCAAACGGCTTTGGTGCCGGTGGTCAAAATGGCGACAATGACGGCAGTGGTTATCGTTACTAAACTACAAAATTTAGCCCGGATCGATAACGTCACAACGCAATGTTTATGGACTATGATTTTCAATCAAACGGAATATTTGAACAGATTAGGATAATTATTTGTCAAATAAGGCTATTCCACTAGACTATTATGACTATTATGATGATAATCTAGTATAATGTTTTTTTTTTTTTAATATAAACTATTTATACGATAAGTTTACAAATATTTAAAAGTAACGAATGTGGCATAATATCGAAAAGAGAACTCATCTACCTTAAACAACCACAAATTGTATATTCCCATAACCATTTATCTATTTCCTCTAACCTTTTTATAGGAAATTTTCATTACACTTCTGCTTCGTAAATGTCCCATTTTCCTAAGGAACTCCAAAAAAAGAAATGATAAAAATTTCATCCACTCATGCAAATATCATCATAGATTTAAATGCACATCCATCCATTCACAAATATTATTGCTGTAAGTCTATGACATGTGTTATAAGTGTTTTTTTAGAGGAATGAATGAATACGTCGTAAAAGATACGAACAAAATGACAATAAAAATATATATTAAAGTAAGTTAAAAGTATTTTCACTTCTACTCAGAACTTGTCCAATATGACACATCTCCATTTAAAAACTAATTTCATGCACTGCCGTACATAAATAGATTTGCAATACTTGGACGCTTTTGGGAATAAAAACAGCAAGAGTATCTTAAAACCTATACGCACACACATAATGGTCTCATATCCATTAGGGTTATGGCATTTATGCAACCTCATATCCCTGTAACATAGTGTAAAAACTAGATACAATCTTAAACTTTAGGTGATTCAATAAAAAAATCTCATGCACAAAATGATTTTGTTATTGTTATTTATGAAAATTTTTAAAAATTTTTTGGAGTCACAGATATATAACAAAATGATTTTGTTATTGTTATTCATGAAAATTTTTTGGAGTCACAGATATATAACTGAACACTATCTTAAATCACATAATGTAACATCACATGGAGCCATCAAACACACATGGAAGTTCAAAAAACACTTTTTCATTGGAGAGAATGAATCTCATTGAGAGGTTGTCCTTATTACGACAGAAGTTGTATCAACTTTCTTTCAAAAGAGAATATCAGGTGTGACAGTTTCATGGGGTTATACGAAAACGTGGACTTTTGCAGTCAATTATCTGCCAGAGAAGTTGGTACCGTTTACGAACTCCAAATACCAAGTTTAAAATAATTCTGTTGAAAAATGGTGCTAAAATCATCAAAATACCGATTATTGCGAAGTGCCGTTATATGGAAGCTAACGATTACGTGAATTTGTGTCCAATTTTTAGTAGTGCCCACTGCGAACTCTTAATTCCAAATACGAAATAATTCTGGTGAAAAGTGTAGCTAAAATTGTCTAAATATAGGGAGAGGTGGACTTATATAGTAAATTTTCTCTCACAGAAGGTAGCTAGAAGCTATTACAAACTCCGAATTTGAACAATTCCGATGAAATCTGTGGCACAAATCATCAAAATACCAGATATCTGTATCATTTATATACAGTTCACTGCAAGGTTGTTTCCTACATACTGGGAACATCTTATCTGAATATATATATATATAAAACTCCCAAAGAAAACCTTATATCTCTGTATAGTTGCATGGGGCCCATACCAGAACCCATAAAGCCTATTTTAATTACCAAACTTCCTGCAGGTCACATCTAAAGGTGAGAATACCTAAAATGATTATTTGACTGGCTTAAGTCATTGGCTGGCTTCTTCGGAAAAGAACAAAGCGGCATATACTCGAACTTAGTTTACCTAAAACTCCTTTGTTTCTATACGAAGAAACCAGGCAGTCATAAAAGCCTTTTATGTACTCCCACCTTAAGTATAATTTCATTAACATACTTTATTTTCTTCGGAAGGTAGGATGGTTTCCATAGACAGACAGTCGAACGGATATCGCTAAATCGACATAATGGGGTCTAAATATATATTTCAAAGTGTTAACAAATTTAGTATACCCTTCATAGGATATGAAAATTGCAATATTCTACTCAAAGTGAGATTATTCTGCTGAAATCAGGATACAACCCACTTTGTATGATGTAGAGCTTGAAATTTGGCACAAGTGTGGGTATTATGTATAGGATGGTTGGTATTGATAATGATATATATCGGTCCACATTTTCGTAGAGCCCCCATATACCGGTACCTCCCGATATTCAGAACATAGTGTATGTAGGTATATATACACCCGCATACACGAAGGGTTTGTCCTTCGGATTTATTCATTTCATAGCAAATGCCAAGCGTGTAGGAAACTGTAATCTTTTAAATTTGAGTGCAATTATTGCATTTGAGGTAGCAACATTCTTCCCCGTAATAATCGTATCCTCAATTAAAGTGTTGTGTAGTTTTTTGCTGTTAGCCTAATACCATTGCAAAGGCGTTAAGGGTCAATGCTTCTTAATAAAATCACATCCCAATCTGAACCGATTTCAATGTAGTTTGATAAAATTTACTTTTACACCAAATTCCGTCACACCTTCCATATTTCATTTATATGGGACCTATATTCAAATCTGCACCGATTTCAATTTAATTTGGCTAACAGATTTTTTACACACATTCCAAATTTCATTGAAATGTTTCCCAGCGTGTTTAATGCACCAAATATATTAAATCGACCGAAAGTATACATGAGAACTATATCCAAATCTGAATCGATTTCAATATAATTTGACAATTTTATTTCTGTTCCAAATTCCGTTACACATTCCAAATTTGGAGACTGTATCCGTATATATCTCCAGTTCCAAGTGAAATTTCAAAAATGTATATAGCCTTTGTTACTTTCAGGCGATATTATATAGTACTAGCTGGCCCGGTCCGCGCTGCCGGCCCGTACTTTTAGTCTTTAATGCGTATTTTTTAAAGGATAATAAATCACAGATCTGACTTATGTAAGCGGCACAATTTTCATTATAAATAATGACTCCATGACTAAATAGAAATTAATTTTTTACAGAATGTTGTCAGAATAGTCAAAAGAAAAAAAAAAAAAATACTCTTTTGGGCATAATTTTTTTGTCATTTAAATTGTGCGATGGAGATCCAATAAAGTCCACATTTTTCATAGTAGTGTAATTCAATGACGATTAAAGAAATGTTCGGTCTCGTGTTACTTTCTAATTTCGTATTTTTTCATGTTTCTGCCACAATTTCCGACTGAATAAGTCGCAGATTGACATTTCGGGGTTTATTTCATATAGACGTACATCCCAAATCTACGTTCCCAACCAATATTCTCTTGGGGTTACAAATTCAATAGAATACCAAATTTTCTTTTGTGACCACACATTGGTTGGGAAAGTGGACTTCGGGGTATACTAACGAGAGGACTATACTTAAATAAATGCATATGTGGATAATTATCTGTAAGATGATTTTCTACCTCAGGTTTTTTTACCCAATGTAGCCTCAAGACTATGATGGTCCCTTTTCCGAAAAATAAAAATTTTATGAGAAGAGGTTTTCTTCCCCCTTAGAAACAAAGATGTCAAATAAGGGCCAAAAAATGGAAAAAGTGGCCAAGACCCCGAAAATACCTTAAATCATATGATGGTGATACTAAAACGTGATAATTTCTTGCAAGGATGTTTTTTTTTTAAATTATCAACATAAGGCAAAATTAGTTCGAAAAATATGGTTAAAATGTAGAATATTTCAAGTATATCGGATTGTTCCGTTATCGGGGGTTATGATCCATATCATGACCTGCCAAAGCGATTAAAGGTATCTTGAATGTTTGGAAAAAATTTCTGGAAAGAATTCGCTCTACTATTTTGCGTCCTTTATAGTCGGTATTTCACGGATTGCAGTCCCAATGTATTTTGCATTTTGAGTTCTCATTGGACGAATTATTGTCATATGAAAGAAACAGGTCCACTTTTTGAAGTGAACCCCATAACGCTTTTTCGGTCATTTTTGTTTGTATAAATGTGTTTGCATCTTCCAGCTGAAGGTCCTGGAGTTAAAAGCTAGATGCCAATTTTATACATGAAAGATCGCCATTTGACATCGTATTACACACTCATTTCATATTTAATATTATTCATCCAGAATTGAAAACAATAAGAAATGTATACTTCAATATAGAGAAAAGAAAGGATTGAATTATTTTGAAATTCGATTTCATTGAAAAGTTTTCGATTTTTCCCGATTTTAGAATTTTCATATCTTATTCTCTTCTGAAATGATATTATTCGTATTACCCAATAAATACATAAAAACTATAAATAACAGTTTTATCCGTTGTCGCTTTATACTACCCAAAAAAACTGCACATCATATTAGAATTCCAAAAAAAAAACACTACAAATGTACATTCGAAAATAGTAAGTCAAAATGGAAAAAAATCATGCAAAATAAAACATTACTATTGTACATTTTAAAAGTCAAAATGTTCAAAATTTCACATTTTTACGCGGTTGGATAGAAAGCCAGCAGTATCCCGTGTAATAATTCTCAAACCGATATCTTCATTAATTTGGCAAATATAAGGATTTTAGATAAATCAAAATAGTGGGCGTAAAAGTAGGCGTGGTCAATATTTTTTTCTTTAAAAACCTAACTCGGGGTATGACAAATGTTTGTACAAAAAATTATTCAAATCGGTTCACCCGTTCTCAACTGATTCCGTTACCAACGAACAACAATTGATTTTTATATATATAGATAATTAGAAATTTTCAGGAAAATCTGTGTAGCGGTTTTCGCGTCCATAAATTACATACAAACATTTTCCTCTTTAATATATATAGATGTTTTCTTTAGCTGGTAGTGGAGGTTCGATTGCAGTTCGGTCTGAACGAACTTAATGTTTTTAGTTGTACAAATTTAAATTTGATTGATCTTCAAAATTGCTAAGATGATTGTGTTTCATGTTTCCAATGAATGGCGCTGACGAAGTGTTCACATCTTCAAATTTCCGTTATGG